GGGTAGGGCTCCTTCGATGCCACGTGGGGCCTGAAAAACGCGTATCACATCGCTGAAATTCGTACCCTGTTATCCTGGCCAATGATCTGCCTTCAATTAGCCGGCTATGCAAAATGACTGTCGTGACGCACGAATGGTGGTATCATAATTTTGCATTATGATTATACGGAGTGCGTTGAAGGCGCTCTTCTGTATCCCATATGAGTGGCTCTGACAATGATTTTGACCAAAAATGTTTATAAGTTTGGATTCTTCAAATGAGCCGTAATTTTGAAGAATGCCCGAAGAATAATAATCTTATATCTTATATATTATCTTATATATTTTATTATATCTTACATCTATTAAGAGCCCTTAATCTCATCTGATAAGAATTTGTAAGCCCAAAATTGTTTCAGTCTTTAAAATATCCAAATCTGTCATTCACAGGTTTAAAAGTCTAATTGCAAAAAAGTTTAACATGTGATGAAGTGTCAATTCTTAGTGCTGAAAACGCGATCTTGGCATTTCTGCCGTAGTTTCTAACAGTTCGAGAAATTATTCAAAATGCTGATTGAGTCTGAAAAAACATCTTATTCTTGCTATCCTCAAGATTTTGTACCCTTCTACTAACAATAAAGAGGAATGTAGACTATTTTATTACTCTCTTCCTGGAAAATCGTGTTTTCCGAGATACGCACTTCTGCACTTTCACCATCGATATTCTTCACATGGAGAAGAAAGACCATCGAAGTTTTCAAGGAAAGACGTTCGGTAGTTGTCCATGATGCAAATGAAGTATGGCAGGCCGCTTGCAGCACTGCAAGCGATGTGCGTTTCTGCATGTCGATGGTGACCCTGGTAAAAATTGGCAGTAGAATCTGTGTTCCCAAATACCATGGACCTACAGCCGGCTGTAAGATTTCCAATAGCTTCTATAGCCGGCTACACAATTTATTATAGCCTTTTATAGCCGATGGCGATTAAGCAACAGCCAGGCGATAAAGTGTATACTACATGTTACTAATTACGGATGCTAGGACTTAGTGAGTTTTTGGACCACCGCTCTCTTCTTGGGCCGTAGTATCTTGATTTATTTTGCGAGGAAAGTCCGTGCCTTTGATGGATGCCTGCCATTCCTAATAAGTTAGTGCGCCTTCAATTTCGTATGATACTGTGCAATACTTCTGGTGTGAAATAGTTGCTTCAAGCGCCGTGGCGCGCTGCGGCTCGGCGGGCGGGCGGCCAGCGCGAAACGCGCATTGGCGCCTACAAACCTAACAGGGATACTTCACGCGTTGCGCAATGCTTGAAGTATCCCTGTTAGGTTTGTAGGCGCCAGTGCGTCGCCGCTCCGCTTTGTGTTAGGCTCTAATATTTAATCTGGCGGAGTCGGCGTTTTTCAACTCATGATTTTGAAATGTTTGCAACGCTCTTTATGGATTATTCTCATTTTAATTGATGTAAAAAAATATGTATTAAAGGAAAATAAAATGTGTGGTTTGTAAATATAAAGGTGGTTCCGTATCAAACTTAATGATTTTCAAAGCACACGAATTTCTACACAATTTCTTATAGCCTTCGAATCGATGGCGATAAAGTGTAAAGCCCGGGAATAGGAACTATAACCCGGCTGCATAATTTCTTATCGCTTCGTATAGCCCGGCTCTATGATTTTTTCCGCGTTCTACAGCCAGCTATATGATTTCCTATCTCCTCCTTTAGCCGGCTACAAGAATTCTTATAGTAATTTGAAACGCAGCTCCTATCGCCAATTTTTACCAGGGGAAACTACCAGACCACGTAACTCGTTTGCTGTGTTTAAAAATCTCCGCTCTCATTTTTTTTTTTTTTTTTTTTTTTTTTTTTTTTTTTTTTGAAGGAGAACAAATTACTATCGTTTCTTGAAATGTTCTCAGAATTTTCTTCACACGAAGAGGAAAAAGCACCGAAGTTTTCAAGAATTGACGTTTAGTATAGTTCTCCATTTAAAAAATAAAATATGACAGGGAGTCTACAACATCGCAAACCGCGATACGTGGTCTGGCAGTTTCACCGTCGATGTTCAATTCGTCGTTATCCTCACAAAAGAACGTATCTACATTCCACTGTTGCCAAATTTCCCAACGCAATTTGAATTTTTACCAGGAGAAAATCAGACATTTCTGACTGAAAATTTCGTTGATTTTTCTTCTGATCTCGTGTAGAAATCAGAAAAAGTTTGGACAAAAATTGCACAAGTATACTCTCGTAAAAAATTGGATTATTTGAGTAGATTTGGCGACCGTGGAATGGAGTTACGTTCCTTCGTCCGAGGAACGACGAATTGGACTACATTTTGCAATTTGGACTTATAGATTCAACCCCGGTTTAAAAACAACGTATGTGCCATTAGTTTCCGTATGCACATAAGTGTTTCTTCAGAAGAGCCAGAATTTATAGTTCCGAATTGCAAAATGCAGTCAAATTGTTCACCATCGATTCATCTATACATAACTGAAGAACAGGCACTTGACTGATTTCCCACAAGTAAAGAAACGAGCCACAGTCAATTTCAGTTTATAAAATTTATTTGATACAATATTTTACTGACAACAATGAAAAAATATTCAGATTCAACTTTGAATAGTGATCAATTAAAAAACTTTGTTGATAGATCTGGTCCATACGATGAAAGAGTAGGAACTTAGTTCAGGTTCAATGCAAATACAGGTGTGTTCTAAAAGTATCTGATCCCCTTTTAACGTATGCACGGCAGAATATTTTTAAGCTTTCAGTAGCCGAAGGAAAATAGTACAATGATTCATAAGCACATCGAGGGGGTTTAGAATTGCAGGAGCTGACATTTGGACTACATGTTGCCATGAAGGAACTAAAATTTTTGATCCATCCGTAAAAGGAACCATCTGCATAGAGGAACTGATGGCACATCGTTGTTTCTAAAATGAGCCAAAAATTGCAGTTCCCTCTTGCACAATGTAGTCCATTCATGCTGAGAGCATTTCTTTGACAAGTGAAACAGGTTTCGTCATCTCCATCTTTTTTCTACGACGAATCCTTTACAAACTTCTGAAGTTTTACATGCAGTTTGTGCCTAACTTTGAGTTAGTCAAAACTCTTCTCTTACATCTAACAAGGGAGGAGGCACAGTTATGTAGATACACTTGCACTACGTGCAAACGTACGTCTTGCATACGTAGAAATGGAGATGTTGCATGTGTGAGGAATTTGCGATTTGACTATGGATTCTTATGTAAAAGTTCGCGAGAAACACGATGGTGCATCTTGTTTTCTCTGAAATCAACTCCCAAGCTCAAAAAAAGCTCTCAAATAGAGGCCAAAATGGAGGGAGTATCTCACGCTATCCTGAGAGTCCACCTCTACATCAAGACAAACTCTCCATGCAAAGATAGGGAGCAAATAAATTAGCAGGGTTGCCGTGTTTTCAGTTTTAGAGTCCCCAAATAAAGTGGCAGCCAGCTGTCAATGTACTGGCTCCCTATCTTTGCATGGAGAGTTTGTTTTGATGTAGAGGTGGACTAACAGAGTAGGGTGGAATATCCCCTCCATTTTGGCCTCACTTTGAGAGCTTTTTTTGAGCTTGGGAGATGATTTCAGAGAAAACCAGTGGCACCATCGTGTTTCTCGCGAACTTTTACAAAAGAATCAATAGTCAAATCGCAAATTCCTTACACATGCAACATCTCCATTATGGACTAACTACAGAGTCTCTCGTGAGGTGCCATCAGTTGGTTTATCACTTACCTCCGTTGTCAATTACCACCATCTGACTCCGCTAATAGGATAACTCCATGTCCCCTTCTTCTTCTTCGTCTATAGGTTTGTCCATGGAAGTCGATAATCAGGCTGCGAGTAGTACCAAGAATAATGTCTATACTCGTGGTCTTTCTACACAAGCACCTTGGTAAGCAGTCTGGACACCTATAAAGAAAGAAAAAAAAACATGAAATTTTGCGGAATATTTTTCTCAGATTTAACATAGATGACTGAAAAAGATAGAACCTGATGAAGGTTTGAATATTCTGGACAGGAATGGAGCTCTTGCATGCGTGAGGGATTTATGATTTAAGTACTTGTACTTACGTGAAATTTTGCGAGAAACACGATAGTGTCACTGGTTTTCTCTGCAATTGACTCAAAGTTCAAAAAAATCTCAAAGTTGAGGCCGTAATGTAAGGTATATGTGGCCAAAATTAATTTTCCTAGCGACAAAAATTCATTTTTGATGGCACCGCAAGATTCAACGTTGAAAAATATAGAGTTAATGTATCGTGCGTTCTTTACACGGAGAAAAAAAACTCGTGCGTGGGACCCGAAGTTTAGGTCATATGGATCTCTGAAGTTTTCAGATTGAGCATCTGAACACTATAGGTCTAGCTGCCGAAGTTCGGATCACACATCTGAAACTTCAGCTCTTGCATCTGAAGTACTTCGGTTCTCACGTCCGAAGTACTTCGGTTCTCACATCCGAAGTACTTCGGTTCTCACATCTGAAGTACTTCAGATGTGAAAACTGAAGTTTCAGATGTATGATCCGAACTTCGGTAGCTAGACCTAAAGTGTTCAGATGCTCAATCTGAAAACTTCAGAGATCCATATGACCTGAACTTCGGGTCCCACGCACGAGTTTTTTTTCTCCGTGTAGCTATAACTCATCGTTTTCGAGATAATAGGGACTAATAGGCAATAATAGGAGCTGATAATAGGGGGATAATGGGGCCCCCGCCGAAAGCGTTTTTCGAAAACACATTATACCACAAAAACGCCTTCTTTTAACCCAAAGAATCGACTCCTTCAATATTCGTACTTAATCCTGGGACACCCTGTATAGGTCTGCCGTGATAGCGAAGAGAGCCGTAAGTGCAAAATTTTCGAAATCGAGTTTTCTTCAAAATTCGTCTAAATTCTTTTAGATGAAATTACTGAGACAGCTAAAACAGCAAAATTCACCCTAATTTAATGGAAACGAGACGTATGAGAAAACCGTAAGTGCACAAAAAATGACATAGTTTTTTTCAAGATAGCCGTGGGTGCATGACAGCCAATGAAGACAGTGCTTTCCAGTAAAGTGCCGCCCTCTTCTGCCAATTTCCAACCTGAAAATGTGTTTGTTGTGCGTCCAAAACGCAACCATGAAAGCATGTAGAATGGCACTTACGGCTGTCTTGCCTAACAATAACCTAGCATGAAAATGAAGAATACCCTTTTTATGTAATGGAAATAAAATCTGTCGATTTTCAATCATCCATACAATTTCTAGGAGTCTTCCGGACGATTAGTGGCAATTTGACGAAGAACGGAGGCTTCTTTCAATAAAATGTTCTTGTCAGAGGCTTCTGAGCCCGTTTTCTCAAAATTTCATTTTTGCACTTACAAAGCCCTTAACCCTGCAGCTTTTAAAGCCCTTATTTTTCTATGTAGAAGAACCTACATTCCTAATAGAAATACACAAGATCTACGAAAAATATATTCAACCAGAATTAATCATTTAGTGACAAATGTTGCTTTTAATGTAGCAAGAATGGTTCTATGCGCTCTCCCCTTTATATCAAGATTTTATTCAAAAGAAATCATTATAGAAATGATTACAATCACCCTATTAAACAAAGTTCATAGGCTCTCGCTATCACGGCAGCGGTGCTCTACACACGGCGTTCTTCCCTGGCTCAAATGACTTACCAGGAGCTCGGTTGCAGATCCGCGCGCACTCGAGAGCCCGGGGGTTGTTGTAGGTCTGGTTGTTGGTGCCGCAGACGGGGTCGTACTGGGGGGAGGTGGCGCAGGCGCAAGGCGTCGTGCTTGCGGTCGGCGCCGGAGTCGTCGATGTTGTCGTCGTCGTCCGACGTCGGTTGGGTCGGTTGAGCCCGGCCGCAGCCACCCCCGCTGCCGGGAGCCCCAACCCCTCGTTCTGGCCCGGTCTGCCGACGTCGCCTCCGAGCGGCCGGTTCTGCGGTCGGTTCACGTTGCTCCCGAGGCTGCTCTCCAGGTCGGGCAGGTCGTCGCCGCCTGGTTTCTGGTTCAGTTGGTTCCAGTTGAAATTCTGGTTCCCCGAGTCGCTGCTGCCCGGTCGGTTCTGGTTCGGGTTCGTTCCTGAATACACCAGAAAAAATTAACAATATAAAAAAATAAACCAAATACAAAAATGGTAAAAATTAACCAACATTTCTTGTTAATGGGAAGTACGAGTAAAACACAGAGTAATACAAGCTGTTGGTTGCTTTTTGTGTGTTAGGCCCTGTCCACACGAGCGGGGTTCGAGGAACTTATTCGACGAACTGCTCAGTTCCCGGAACTTATTTCTTGAAACGATGCATGCTATCCAAACGAGTTCGCCCGAACTGGAACCGGAACTTCAATAAAACTATACAATTATCGCAAAATAATAGATTCTTACGGCCGCCAAAGTAACAAAAATAAATGTCAAGACATGTAAAGGACGTAAAAAACAAAAACAAACAAATTCACATCAAAAGAAACGTATATAGAAGCTCGGAGTACGGGGGAAGTTCCGGGTTTTGGAGGAATAAGTTTTTAGCTCAGCTTAAACTTGTTCCGGGAACAAGTTCCTCGGAATAAGTTCCGCGAACCGCGCTCGTGTGGACAATGTCCTGGTGTTCCCTGCGTCTATAATCGACCAGATCTTTGTACTGAAAATCTGTGACCTCGTTAAAATTGGATGCTAGCCGGCAGGATCGAACCGGGATCGAATTAACCGAATCTTGTGTTAATGGGAAGTAAAACACAAAGTAATACAAGCTGTTGGTTACTTTCTGTGTGTTAGTGTTCCCTGCGTTTAGTCGACCAGATATTTGTACTAAAAATCTGTGACCTCGTTAAAATTAGATGCTAGCCGGCAGGATCGAACCGGGATCGAATTAACCAAATCTCGTGTTAATGGGAAGTAAAACGCGAAGGGTAACACAAGCTGTTGGTTAATTTTGCGTGTGCTATTGTTCCTTGCGTCTGATCGATCAGATATTTGTGTTGAAAATCTGTGACCTCGTTAAAATTAGGTGCTAGCCGGCAGGATCGAACCTGGATCGAAGTAACCAAATCTTGTGTTGATGGAAAGTAAAACACGAAGTAGAACACTTTTTACCTGTCTCGATGTTACAGGATAACCTTTACGGTTTGGGTCGATTTAACATACAATTGTGGTAAGAAACCAAGTCATTTGCGTTGATCTGATACACAAAAAAGTAACACAAAGTAGCACAGAGTAACACCAAGCAAGGACATTTTTAACTGTGTAGAAGAGAGTAGTGAATGTAGAGAGCCTAAAAATTTCACACATTTCACGTTTGACTGACTAGGTTTTTCCAGACTCGAGGCTTGATCAAACTAAATCTGTACCTTTTTTTAAAACTTTTTGAAACATGCTGATGGTGATATCTACACATGAACAATGACCAAAGTGCGAAATCGCGTATCTCCATCGCGGTGTTTCAAAATGTCCGCTACTATTTTATTATTACGAAGGGCCGCAAACCAACTTTATATGTTAAGATTTCAACAGGGTGCTCTTCTAACAGAGATGTAAAATCAAGGAAGTTTTCAAGAAATTACGTTGAATAGTTTTCCCAAGAAAAAGTCAAGTACCAAGGGGGGTCTGCAACGCCGCAGATGTAGATACGTGATTTTTTACTTTGGTCATCGATAGGTAACCACGGCCGGACAGAGGGGGTGGCTAATTTTGCAATTTTTTTTAATGCAGGTACAAAAAAATCGGACTCGGAAGAAAATTACAAACAAGAAAAGGTGACAAAATCTCCCATTTCCTGAGAGTTCATTAATTTCTAATTTTGTCGTGTTTCGGTGATACAGAAGACTGCGCACCTTTAATTAGTTGAGTTCAGAGAGAAACCAAACACGTAATTTGGCCTGGAGCGGGGCGGCGCAAAGAGAAATGATGACGAGGACTTGAGATGAAAAGGAGAAGCTCTCGGCGCGGCGGTCGGCATGTAACACATATTAGCGCCTACGAGACTGCATGAATACTTCACGCATTGCGTCAAACACAGTACGGTCAACAGCGGTCGGCGCGGCGTGAAACGCACAGCGCCTACAAGACTACATGAATACTTCACGCATCGCGCTAAACACAAAGTGGTCAGCGTGGCACGGCGGCGGAAGTTAAAATTATTAAACCACATTTATGTTTGTTCTTTCTTAATTTTTTAGTTCATTTCTTACAAATGAAAGGCCTTGTCCCCACAGAGATAGGTTTACGGAACTTAACTTTCGCGCAAAGTTCCGTGAACTTTTGCTAGTAGTGTTGACAGGGCTTACGCAAAAAATGTGACAAACACGAGTGAACGCGACTTATGCACCCTTCTCCCTCCGGCACGTTCACTTGATGGTTTTTATTGATGTTTCAAAATGAATGAGAAGAGGGCGGCAAAATACAGGCGGCCCATGGGCGGCAAGTAAGTAAATCCGGCCATGTAAGTAACAAAAAAAACGAAATATGCGTAGCCTTGGTGCCTTTCATTTTGCTCGTATTTTCGAAGGAACGACTGCTTACATGGTGCGAAGGTTTTAAAACACAGTTTTTAAAATTGGAGCTCTTCTGCCTAAGACGTACAATATTGCACAAACGTGCGTCAAAGATTTCTTGAATTTCAAAATTACCTTTCCTAAAAAAATTCGTAAAATTGTACAAGAATAAATTAATAAACTTAACCATGTCTGACCTGACGGTTGGTTTTGCTTATCGAAGTCGCTGTTGCCCGGTCGGTTCTGGCCGAACTGGTTGGAATTGGTGCCTGAAGGCAGGTTTTGGTTCCCAAAGTCATCTCTTCCTGGTCGGTTCTGGCCGAACTGATTGGAATTGGTGCCAGAGGGCAGGTTTTGGTTGCCGAAGTTGTTGCTTCCGGGTCGGTTTTGATTGAAATTGGTGCCTGACGGCAGGTTTTGGTTGCCAAAGTCATTGTTTCCTGGTCGGTTCTGGCCGAACTGGTTGAAATTGGTGCCTGAAGGTTGATTCTGATTGCCGAAGTTGTTAGAGCCCGGTCGGTTTTGATTACCTGGAAAAATTGCGTTGATTTTTTATTTGGACCGTATGTTGCAAATTATTGCAATACGGAGGTATTACCATTGGTCCAATAATTACAAAAGCAATAATTGCTTTCAGGAAACTAATGCATCGTAGATTATTCCTACGATGCGTCAGAAATGGTAGTTCCTTCTTAGAAAATAAAGTTCATTTAACGAAAGGAGGTGCCTCTCAAAAATTTGCCCCTTTCTCACGAACACGAGGAACTATTAGACTGGATTTTGCAATAGGGGATTATAATTATTTCCAGCTCATTTTAGATTTTTGCCATAAGAGTCTGTATGCACATAGGTATTGTAATGAATGAGCCCGAAACAGTAGTGAAAAATATTGTGTAGATGCCACTAAAATCAAACTTAGTACTAAACAAAGCCTCCACTATAATTTTTCAGCGCGAGTTTAAAGTTGGCTGCGACGAAACAGCAATACAAAGTTTACATATTTACTATACTTACACACGAATAATTTTAATGACAATTAATATGAAATTTGCAAAGATTCATCGTCAAAACCAGAATTAAACTCAAGCTGAAAATTTACTGGAAGCTTGTCTTAATGTGAGGTTTCATCTAGCCGCATATTGGTGGAATTTCCACAATGCTGGGAGAAGGGCGAAAGTTCCTTTCCTCAAGGAGCTCCTCACATAAAACATGATAGAGGATAAAAGGTAGAAAGGAAAAGACGTATTTTTTTCAGTGACAAGGGAACTACTTAGTTCTTAGAAAGAGCAATTTCGAGGGTAGACAACTCTGTAGTACGTCTAAAAAATGCATTTTTCGGCAAATTGGCAAAGTCGCGATGAAAATAATTGAAGGTTTACTACATCGGCACGTTAGGCAACGCTGAAATTAAGTTATAGGTACAAGAGAAACTACCAAAGCTTCAGTTACTGTCGCATGCTGCGAACACTAAACGAATTTCATTGTCACGCCTGGATGCAACTATTCGGGCTCCACGGATGTCCGCGTTGCATACTCACGGAGTTGAAGGCGTTTTGACTTTCTAAGTCCTCAACGCTTTACTCGCGCTGCGACGCGGCGCACAGTGGATCGAGTCAATCTGAGAGGTACGACATGAAATTTTTTACTAAAACTGCCAATTTTGATGTTTATTTTGTCACATTTTCAATTTCAAGGGGTGCTTCAAGATGAAAATTTCATGAGAAAATCAATGATACCACTTTTAGACCCGCAAAGCTTTGTATAAACGGAGTTTCAAGCTTTTTAAGTTTAGAAATTTTGTCCGACCTCTCCTATTGACTCAATCCACAGTGCGGCGGCGGCGGGTTGCGCAGTGCACTGCGAGGCTCCAAAATTACATACCGCCTTCAATTCTTCGTTTATACTACAAATACATCTCTAAGGCGCACATCGGGCCCCATGGATGGCTGCGTTGCATACGCACGGAGATGAAGGCGTTTTGACTTCAGACACTTAATCGCGTCACCCAGCGGCGCACGTTGGGGCGAGTCACAGTGGCGTGGCGTGAATTGCGATAAATCGATTGTTATGCCATTTAAACCTATGGAGAAGGATCGATAATCAGGGTGTTCGCAGTGAACACCTAAATAATCGATTCTTCCACATAGGTTTAAATGGCATAACAATCGATAAATCGCAATTCACGCCACGCCACTGGCGAGTCAATACGAGTAGTCGGGCGAACTGTAGAAACATTAAAAGCTAATATCAATGTGAATACGGTACGTAGAGTCTTCAGAAATGGAGTTTTCCGTTTGAGTTTTAGAGCTTTTAAAATGTCCTTCAAGAGACACCGCATACAACTACGAATGTGAGGAAATTAACATCAATCAAAAGCCTTCGATCAAAAGCCTCGAAAATTTCATGTCCAACCTCACCGATAGGCTCGTTCTATTGTACGGTGGGCTTTACTGCGAGGGTATAAAATGACAGAGTGTTTCTATTCTTCATTTATACCTACTTCAAAGAAATCTCTCAAGCATGAATAGTTGATCGACAAATAATGCTCAGCACCGCGATATCAAGACTGAGGCACAAAAGACACTCATGCATATAAATTATCCGTGCCTTAGAGATGCCTTTTTAGTATAAACGAAGAATTGAGGGCATTCTGTAATTTTGGAGCCTCGCGGTGCAACCCGCCGCCGCTGCGTTGCAGCGCGAGTAAAGCGGTGAGCGTACAGAAAATCAAAACGCCTTCAAATGCGTGAGTATGCAACACGGACATCCGTGAAGCTCAAATAATAGTTGCATCCAGGCGTTATAATGAAATCCACTCAGTGTTAATTGCATGCGATTCTAACTTAAGGTGCTTAGCTTGTTTCTTTTACACCTCAACTCAATTCCATCGTCGTCCATTGCCGATTGCATATTGATTTTTTTCCGTGATGCACGAAACTTTTCAGTGCGGGTTCACCTTAAGGTGATTCGATGGACGCCATATTTTGTGTCAGAACGGCATGCGATATATCGCATTAATTGGTTCCATTTTTTCAGCTACTTGTCATTTTTCTCCAATTTTGAAATCGCAATTCTGTTATCAGGAGTCTAAAGCACTCACTTACCAATTTTAAGAAAGAAATTCAACGTAATAGAGGCATGGTTTTTTAAGAGAGAAAACATCACATTCGATACTGATATCGAAACTGCACTCGAATGCGATATTTTCACTCTAAAAAAAAACACGCCTTTATTACGTTGAATTTCTTTGTTTAAATTGGTAAGTGAGTGCTTTAGTCTCCTGACAACAGAATTGCGATCTCAAAATTGGAGAAAAATAACGAGTAGCTGTAAGAATGGAACCAATTGATGCGATATATCGCATGCCGTTCTGACACAAAATATGGCGTCCATCGAATCACATTAATTTCTCATCATAGAGTACACAGAGTCGTAATGTAAGTGGGAGAGCTGGCACCATGTTCTGCTCGACAAATTCCGAGCCCGGTGTGCGCCGAGTTCGGGTGGCTTTTTCGATACATTTTCGATCCAAAATGGCGGTGTGGAATACGTGGTAATTCCTATCTCCTTTGTTGTTGTTGCTGTTGTTGTCATCGGATGGCCGGGTACCCGTGTATCGCAAACAATCGATTATGTATCGAAAAAGTGACCCGGCGTCACACAGGAGTCTCGGAATTCGGGACATGGCAAATGCTTAAAAGTGGCGCCAGCTCTCCCACTTTCATTACGACTCTATGTACTTCATGTTTCTCATCTGTAGAGAGATTTTTTTTTATATTTATTTATGCTTCATGTTAGTTACCGAAAGGTCGAGACGCGTCGCCGAAGTCTGAAAAGTCACTTCCGGGCCGATTCTGATTTAGGTTGAAGTTGGAGTTTCCGAAATCACTGTCCGAGCCAGAGTCCCATCGTCGGTTGCCCCCCTGGCCCCCTTCCCCGCCCCCGTTCCTGCGGGTGTTGGTTCCACCTACATCGTGGTCCGTTCGCGTGCGATGCCTGTGCTGCCCTCTGCTGGCGGTTCTACTCTCCACGTCCCTCAACACTGCCGCCAAGAGCACCAACGCCAATGCTGAAAACATTTATAAGCAAATTAGTAGATTACTGCCGTTCTAAGGGAAAACGCCGTATGAACATTCGAAAGTTGCCAAATTTCCCCGGATAAAACATGTATTTCTGAGGAATGTTGTGCACATTTTTCCTTGAAATTTTCCGATATTTTAGATTTAATTGGGAACAAAATTGTCTGAAAAATTGGAAGAAAAATATTCAGAATTTTCCCAGTAAATTCGTTGATTATTAAAGGAAATATGGCAACGCCTGAAGGATCATACGAAGTTTTTCCTCAGCACGGGGCAGAATAGGCTTGAGTACCTTTGTAGGGAGAGTATGGACAACTCGAGAATTTGAAGGTTAGGCCTGATCAGGTCATGTAGCTCTTGGGGCCCAAAAGGGCAGCCAACCTATAGGAACTCGAATTATCCAGTGGTACTAATTTAAAATGCGAGAGTAGGTACAGGGTACACTGATCAAACATTGTAAAAGCACGTATTAAACTTTTACTCCGCATAAATTCTCTCAGTTTCAAAGTCTTAATCTTTAAAAGCACTTGTTTACAAATGCGCTATCTGCCCTGGACTTGAGATGAAAAGGAGAAGCCCTCGGCGCGGCAATCGGCATGTAACACATATTAGCGCCTACAAGACTTCACGCATTGCATCAAACACAGTGCGGTTATTGTGGTCAGCGTAAAACGGATAGCGCCTCCAAGAATGGATGAATACTTCACGCATTGCGCCAAACACAGTGCGGTCAGCGTGAAATGCATAGCGCCTACAAGACTGCGTGAATACTCCTCGCATTGCGCCAAAGACGGTGCGGTCGGCGCGGCGGCGGAAGTTAAAATCATTGAACCTAATTTTGTGTTTGTTCTTTCATAATTTTTTCGTTCATGTCTTATGAATGGAAGGTCTTGTTCATTAGAGATAGGTTTACGAAACTTGACTTTCGCGCAAAGTTCTGTGACCTTTTGCTTGTAATGTTGACAGGGCTTTCCCAAAAAATGTGTTCAACACGAGTAGACGCGTCTTATGCACCCCTCCCCCGCTGGCACGTTCACTTGATGGTTTTTATTGATGTTTCAAAACGAATGAGAAGGGGCGGCAAAATACAGGCGGCCCAATGCGGCCCATGGGCGGCAAGTAGAAAAATCCGGCCCTATGGGTGTGTGTAATACTTCGCGTCCTTCCGTACGAAGGTGATGACACCTTATATTTCAGAAGATAAAAAAAAAATTTAAGTGGGGTCAGTTCCATTACATTATCTGGTTATGATTCAACCTTTACCTCTACTTAGCGAGATTTTCATCTGCTTCTTTTCTTCTTAGAAAAAAGTTAGTCGTTTACACTTTTTTTTAAATATCAATAACATTTTTGACTCATCAGAACTGAAAATAAATCAAAAAACTTAATTAGAGATTAAAATTTAGGCTGGAAGGGTGTTTTAAGTTAAAATTGTCGGCTTACTTCCTTATAAAAATATAAAACTTGAACGGAAATTTTGCGCGAACGCCGAAAGTGGAACACGTGGTTTCCAAAACTAACTATTGGAATATAGGGATTCAAAATTTATTTTTCCTAGAGAAACCTTCCATAAATTTTAAAAATCTTCAAAATGCACGGCTTGCCGTTTTGATGCATGCATGACTAAGATTAGTTGAATACAGCGGGGTGTTTTTTTCTTTTTTTACCTGCATCTCGAGTGCTTCCATCAGATAAATTACCTTTCTTGCCCAACCTGATAAATTCAGTGGCGAAGCGAGAATGATCGATTCTCGATATAGCCATAGCCCATTTGAAGCTATGGTAAAGACTCGATCATTAAGGTGTTCGTTGCTTCTAACACCCTGCTTATCGATCCTTTTCCGTAGGTATAAATGACAGATAAATCGATGTATCGCAAAGCCCGCCACGCGTCACTGCTAATAATAAATGTATGATATATGTTATTATTCATATGTGGCCGTCCTTGGGCGATGGAACTTCAGTCCATGGCGGCAAAATTTTCAGAAGGGAGACTTTTGTCGAATTAGATGGCGAAATCGGATTATGAAATCTCGACGAATATGTCCCTCTCTCCAGTGTCGTGAAGAATAAGTTACAAGCTGTCCAGGTCATTCTAATGCAGATAGATGGCGAAAAATTGCATTATGACGCGGCTATTTTGTAGTCTGATCATGACAAGTTTGAATTTAAAGTAGCTTTTTCAAGAGACTATCTTTCTTAGGTGTTTTCAAAACGCCATTACTTCTGCTTATTTTGAAATTTTTCGGCGTTTTATTGTCCCACAATGTTCGTACAAAACTCTTCCATATCCATTATGGGTAAACTGCGACACCACGTATCTCCATTGCGGTTTTTCAAAATTTCCACTCTTACTGCGCCGCGCTGATCGCACTGTGTTTGGCGCAATGCGTGAAGTATTCTTGGAGTCTTGTAGGCGCTATGCGTTTCACGCCAACAACTCCTGACGGCCTGACCGCACTGTGTTTGCCGCAATGGGTGAAGTATTCATGCAGTCGTTAAGGCGCTAATATGTGTTACATGCCGACCGCTGCGCCGAGGGCTTGTCATTTTCATCTCAAGTCCTCGTCATCATTCCTCTCTGTGCTGAGCTCCAGGCCAAATTGCGTGTTTAGTTCCTCTCTTAACTCGACTAATTAAAGATGCTGTCTCTTGTATCACCGAAAAACGACAAAATTAGAAATTACTAAACTCTCAGGAAAGAGAGATTTTATTCTCCTTTCTTAATGATAATTTTTTTTTCTGAATCCGATTTTTTTTACTCCCACATTTAAAAAAAATGCAAAATTTGCCGCCCCCTAAATTTACCGCCATGGGTCACGGCCCATATGGCCACAGCCTTAATCCGGCCCTGTATATTATGTATATTATACATTTCAAGCTATAAAGTTGGATTGTTTCTCTGCGAAAAAATAAAATAGAGGCGTAAATTTTGAAACATCACAATGGAGATTCGAGGTTTTCCACTCTGGTCATCGATATAGGTATAGAAAGGGCATTTCTTGGTTTGCGGTGTCTCAGAGTCTCCTCTGAAGTTTTATCCATCTTGATCGATGCAAATTTATAGAATTCGAAGACACAACATGAATTTTCTTTATGATTTTACAATGATGAAACCGGAAAATATCAGAAAATTTACCGAACAGTCTCCCCTCTGGAATATAAATCAGCAGTGCACCGAAAAAAATAATATGCTGTTTTAGCATCTAGGATGTCAAAAATGTGTCTGGTGATCCCAAGATGCTGCCTTTACTGCCCCCGCAGTTGAATTTGCATTCACAGGATGTAAAATTAACTGCGGGGGCAGTAAAGGCAGCATCTTGGGATCACCAGACACATTTTTGACATCCTAGATACTAAAATAGCATATTATTTTTTTCGGTGTGGAGATTCCAAAACACCACAACCAAGAAATAATGCTCTTTTCGCACCCAACTCCTTAATTGAGGGGCTTGGAAGACAAGGCGCATAAGTGCAGTTTTTGAAAAAATTGAAATATTAATGACTTTAAGTACAACTGGTTTTAGTGCATAGTAAGTGAAAAATTCGCGCTCAAATTGCAATTTTTAAGTACCTATTAAGAAGTCAGTTTGAACTTCCTTTCCGCCATAAGGTTCCATGTAATTTCGAAATTCCAAACACGTGGGTATTTTTCGAAATAGCAGAAACTGCACTTATGCGCCTTGTCCTCCAAGCCCCTAGACTATTGTCCTTTCAATGATGCTATCCTGAGAGCTTCCTCCGTCACAATGTATAAACCATAACGTTCCTTCCTCGGGGAAAGACGGACTATAAGTACGATCCATACACATTAGTAACTGCAAAACCTCTTACCGGCGTTTAACTGCATCTTAAACAAGTCCAATCGAATGCTTTCACCAACTAAAACACCCGAACCTCACTGACCTACACGAAGCGCGAACAAAAATATCAATGCTGAAAACCCGTTTGAAAACAGCGAAGCTCGGTGTTTGAATTCGGGTGTGATCGTAATTCGTAACTGTGAAGTGTGAATTGATAATTGCGACTCGGCAATGAAAGACTGATTGTGCGAGAGACACTGATTGCTGACCAGTGACCCTCTCTCTTGAACTTGCTCCCCGCATAAGGTCAGCATGACGGGTTCCGAACTGTGTTGCTGTTCGTGCGTAAACATACGCTTGTGGTTCACCTGTTTTCGATGTAAAAATGGAAAAAAATTGTGAAATTTGGCTATAGTGGTTCCGAGTCAGAAGCACTGAGCGGCGCGTGCTTCAACTGATATTATTGATGCTAATGTATGCTATTCCTCTGCGCACTTGGGCTCAGTTTGATTGAAATTAAGGCGAAATTTAAGATGTTCGGCTCTTTGATATCTTTCGACTGACATTCCAGCCGATGAAAATCTAGAGAGTAATCTGTGGGCTGATTATTGAAATTGATAGACAAAGCGATAGACCAAGAAGACATAGGAGTATGGAAGGATCCTCTTGGTTGAAGTGAGTGGTTCCTACTGACTATACCGGAGAAAAGTATGGACTAACTATAGGATCTCTTATGAGTTGCCGTTAGCTGCTTGATTACCTACCTTCTTTGTCCATTGCAACCACCCACTTCCACCAATTGGATCCCTCTACATCCCTTTTTGTCAGCTTTGGCTATCGGATCAAAAATATTTGATTGACCACGTTAAATAAGTGCGTGACGTATTTCTTTCATTTTTGAAATTTTAATTCCATTAACTTTTTGGTGAGAGTAGCTCAAAATTGCTCTTGAAACGACTCATTTTTTCCAAAATTTTTCCGGGAAAGCTCCACAGACTCCTTCTAGAGCTGGAAAATGTAATCATATAACATCCTCTTGAAATTCACGCCGTCCCTCAAGCCCCCCTCGCTCTTTGCCCTCCAAAATCCCTTTACACTGAAAAAAAATTCTCGGCGTTTTTACCAAGGTCCGTTGGTACCTTTACCATCTCACTTTTTTTTACCAATTATTAGTAATTTTACCAAGACAGACTGGTAAGCTTACCTATAAACCGGTATTTTTACTATTTTTTTCAGGTAAGAATACCACTTATATTGGCAATCAATTCCCGGTAACTTTGCCATTTTATCTCGGTAATCCTACCACAGTCGATAAAAAATATTGGCGTTTTTACCAAGGTCCAGTAAAATTACCGAGAAAGTTCAATTATTTTACCGAGATTTCTCGGTAAAATTACCAATTCCATAAATGATAATTTTACCAAGAAAAAACTGGGATCAAATAGAACCCTGAATTCTTGGTAATTTTACCCTACTCTTAGTAAATCCACCGAGATTTTTTTTTTCAGTGTAACATCCTCTTGAAATTCATGCCGTCCCTCGAGCTCCCCTCGCTGTTTGCCCTCCAAAATCCCTTTACAATCAGGTGCCTCTCTGGCCCCCACCAAAAGCTGTAGTTACGTCAACTCTTCATGACGTCCAATTTCCGTCGGAAATACCCCAGAGTGCGTTGCCCGGGCTTCCAGGCTCGCTTTGTAGCTCTGGGACAGACGCGGTTCAAATTAAATGACTCACAATCTGCTCTACAGTGTTTACATCGCCGGATGATAACTCTGCCGTGCTAAGGAAGAACGCCGTATGAGCCTTCAGGTGTTGCCAAATTTCCTTTGATAAGTCACGAATTTTAGGGAATATTTATAAACATTTTTCGTTAAACTGTTCAGGGAATTTTCTTCGTAATTTGATCTAAATAGTCTAGAAATTTCAAGGAAAAATATTGATAACTAATCTCAAAAATGAACATTTTATCGGAGGCAATTTGGCAACTCTCGAATGTTCATACGGCGTTTTTCCTTAGCACGGCAGAACCGGTGGGAGGAGCTGATTCGTCTCTGACTGATCGCTCGAGACAGCCGTTTGGATTTCCCACGCAAAAAAAAGAAACTGATTTTTTCCTCCTCGCATCGCCTTTGTTGCCCCGTGTTGCACCATTCTGCCATGCTAAGGAGGAACGCCGCATAAGCCTTCACACTGAAAAAAAAATCTCGGTGTATTTACTAAGAAAAGGGTAAAATTACCATTTATAGAATTGGTAATTTTACCGAGAAATCTCGGTAAAATAATTGAACTTTCTCGGTTATTTTACTGGACCTTGGTAAAAACGCCAATATTTTTTATCGACTGTGGTAGAATTACCGAGATAAAATGGCAAAGTTACCGGGAATTGATTATCAATAAAAAAGGTATTCTTACCTGAAAAAAACAGTAAAAATACCGGTTTATAGGTAAGCTTACCAGTCTGCGTTGGTAAAATTACCAATAATTGGTAAAAAAAAGTGAGATGGTAAAAGTACCAACGGACCTTGGTAAAAACGCCGAGAATTTTTTTTCAGTGCAGATGTTGCCAAACTTCCTTGGACCAATCACAAATTTTAGGAGAAATTCGGGAGTACTTCTCCTCCAAATGTTAATGAATTTCCTCTGTAATTTGATCTAGGGTGTTCGAAAATTTCAATCACAAATATGCATTAATTCCACTAGGAATAATTATTTTTCGAGAGGAAATTTGACATCATTTGAATGCCTATAAGGGGTTCTTCCTTAGCACGGCAGAATTCCTCTCGTAGATCAACGGTGAAACTACAAAAACGCATATCTCGGTTTGCGACGCCGCGGAATTCCTCCCACAATGTATAAAAAATACATTTTAAAAAAATGGAAAAATACCCGATGCCATTTCTTTAAAACCTCTCCGATTATACTCATCTCTCTATGAGGCATATTCTGTGGTTTCAAGAAATATCGCTGGTTTATTCTCCTTTGATGTACTGAAGGTACACGGACTTTATGTCCACTTTTTTACGTCCACAGTTCTAAAGCCAACACTATTGTTAAGTCCATTACTTAAACGTCCACTAAGTAAAGTCCACTAAAATCAAATTCAAGCGTTATATTTTAGTCCGTGTGTAAAATTATATTGACAATATCGAAATGAGAAAATTAAAAGAGAATGAGGTGTTGTTATCGTAACTCATATTTTAAATGAAATGTTAATTTCTTCTTTTGATTCATCTTCTCAAGTTGTCTTTGGTAAATACTTGGTTTCATTTTTATCCTTGAAATTTCCGATGTAAAATATGCCTTAAATGTACATTCTTTTTTTTAATGAAATTGATTACTTCATTTTAAAAGCATTTACATTTTGAAAACATGGTAAATATTTGTAAAACATTTTCCAAGCCATGGCATCGATATGAATCTCAATGAGCCGTAGTTGTGATGAAAGAAACTATACAAAAATTAATAAAAGATGAAAAAAACTAGAAGCACGTAATTTTTTGTTTTTAACTTAATTGTACATCGATCTTCTTGGGTTAAATACGTTCAATTTTGAGCCTTTAGTTGAGCTTACACCACGCTGCAGCACAGTAAAAGCCCAAAATATAAAAGAATAAATTTGAATGCTTTGGAAATCATTAATTTGACACGAAACCACTGTTATATTTACAAAGAACACATTATATTTTCCAGTAGTACATATTTCTTTTTCATCAGTTTAAAAGGGAATAATCAATGCAGAGAGTGCAAATATTTCAAAATCATGAGTTGAAAAATGCTGACTCCGCGAGTTTAAATATTAGAGCCTAATACAAAGCGGAGCGGCGTGTTAGCAGCGCAGAACGCGCACTGGCGCCTACAAACCTAACGGGATACTTCACGCATTGCGCAACGCTTGAAGTATCCCGTTAGGTTTGTAGGCGCCTATGCGCGTGTCACGCTGGTTGCCTGCCGCGTCGCAACGTTTTAAGCAACTATTTCGCGTCAGAGGCGTTGCACAGTATCATTCAAGATTGAAGGCGCACGAAATAACTAGTTAAAGAGGACTTTCAATTTTGACTGCATCTGTTACTGAAAAATATTTAATTTGGCATTGGAGCGTTTCCTAGGCTCCCGCTTTGGTTTTCATCTTATCATATCCGTACAGTGTACACATGAACGTATGTTTTCATCTGCTCTTAGAGTCTGTTCTCTTTCATGACTTGATTCATGAATGAAATGTTTTTAGAATGAAGGTGAGGTGGTTCCTGTCATTTAAATGAGAAGAAAAAAATGTGGACATAACATGTCCACAATTTGGACAATTTTAGACATATTCATGGTTGGACATTAAATCATGCATGTGGACTTCATAAAGACTGGACTTAACGTTTAGTGGACATAAATAGCGGCGGACATTTATCTAATGGACGAAAGGTAGGTGGACATAAAGTCCTGGAAGCGTTCTGAAAACACACCGTGTGAGAATCTTATACTTCCTCCGATAGAGTATTCATTTTCATCAAAATTGCTGAATTTTCTTTGAAATTTTCAGAAAGACCAGGTTTTCATGTCAGTAACTCTCTCTGATAAATCAAGAGACAAAAAATCACAAGTTTCCCGGATAAGTCCGGAATTTTATTACGAGGATTTTAGCAAATTTTCCACATTTAGATGACGTTTTCCTTCAGGCAGTCGTGAGGCTCCCGAATAATTTTGCATTAAACTTGGCAATCGGGCGCGAAAAATGTTTCGCGAAGCGATGAGTCTTTTGTGACCGGTTTGGACCAACTTTCACTCTTAAATCGATTTAAATGCAACGACTCTCAATCAGCCTACGGTTTACTAAAATTGGTAATTTTTTCCCTCTTATATATTTCTCCTTTTTTTAGCTCTGTATATGTTTTTTATAGGTTTTTATTATGCTTTAATGAAGGGGGAGGGGTAGGGGTATGATTGGTTTGTGGAATCTTCTTCGTGCGTAATAGAAGTTAATGAGGACTGGTTAAATTCTTTGCGTTCATCGTCAGCTCCACTCCCGGGGAATCCAAGGCCAGGTCCATGACCGTTTCGATCACTCCTCTATATTCTTTAGAGAACGTTCATAAAATGCGTAACGCTCTAGGGTATTGTACCCGTAACGCGCTTGCGTTACGGGTACAATCAAGGCTGCGTTACGGAACTTGTTAAATTAAGCAATATTTCGACTTGAAATTTTTTGAGTTTAATTTTTTCTTAATCAATGGGAAAAATACGAAAAGTTACAGAACGTTACTTTATTTCTGTTCAAAAGAAAAAACACTGTAAAAATCGAAGAGTTATAAATTCGATAGCGAAGTCGATATAGCGCCCAAAAACCCCGGGTGCGAAGTGAAATTAGCACGCCCATAAAAGAGTAGGTATAACACTCCGCAAAAAGAGTAGATACCGCTCCGTAATAGTGTACGTCACTCCTTAAGGGGCACTAATTGGACTGCATTTTGAAATTTGGAACTATAAATTCTAGCCCGGTTTAAAAACAACGTATGTGCCATTAGTTTCCTTATACTCATACGTTTTTTTTCAGTTGAACCAGAATTTATAGGTGCAAATTGCAAAATGCAGTCCAATTCCGCTCCGCGTACATATTACTCCGGGTTTTTGAGTGATATGTACTATCATGCTAAGGGAAAACGCCGTATGAGCATTAGAGTGTCGCCAAATCTCCTCTAATAAAATGTTCATTTATAAGGAGGGTTATGAATATTTTCTCTTGAATTTTTTCAAATAATTTAGATCTGTCCGCAAAGAAAATTCGCGGATAAATATTCACAGATGTCCCTGCAAATCCATGTATTATCAAAGGAAATTTGGCAACGACAGAAGGCTCATGCAGTGTTCTTCCTCAGCATGGCGGTAAGTATGGACCCCGGCTCAGAATTTCACTCAAAAATTTTCAACGGCGAAGGAAAAAATTGAAAGGGAAATTAACACGAAGTGCAGTCGGACTGATTCTGCTTAAATCCGTTCCTATAACTGGACGTATTTATGCTAAAAGGAGCATGTCCCACGCAAGCCTTATGCATATCGACGGTGTAAGTCGGCAATCACATAACTCGGTTTACGACGTTGCAGACCTCCTGTCATACTTTATTTTTTCAACGGGAAACGACTCAACGGCAATTCTTTAAAACTGCAGTGATTTTTCTTCTCTGTGCGAAGAAAACTCTGCATAAATTTCAAGGAATGATGTCAATTGGACTACATTATGCAATTTGGAACTATAAACTCTAGCCCGGTTTAAAAACAACGTATGTGCCATTAGTTTCCCCTGTGCACATAAGTATGTTTCCAGAAGAGCCAGAATTTATAGTTCCAAATTGCAAAATGCATGCAGTCCAATTTGTTCTCATGTAAAAAAATAACATAGAGGTGGAGATTTTCAGACAGCGCAAACGAGTTATGTGATTGCCGACTTACACCGTCGATACGTCCTTTTAGCATAAATACGTCCAATGGAAGAAGGAAAAACGAGGCTGAGGTGTGTTGTAAAATATTGAGGGAGGATCGCATCTGTGTTATGATTTACATGTTATTGCTTTGTTTGAATTTGACTGCGGCAGTGCGGCACCCATCGATCATACTGGTTTTTACAGCTTTTCCGCTCTCGGCGAGTCCTAATGAGCATAATTCTGGACAGACGATGTTAGGTTCAAGGCCTCCTGACTCCTCGCTGGCTGCAAGCAACGGGGTCATCCGCATCTTAATCCAAACTCGAATGAACAACATTCTGGTGCAAGAACCGAGACAAAGCATTGACACTGCCTAGACACGCCAGAGTTGGATTCTTTTACGTTGAAAAGGTCAATGCACGAGAGGTTTAAATCAAAAGGAATCATGCGTGTATGGGATTCGAATAATATGTCAAAGTTCCTTTGATTTAATTTACGTTTTTTTTTTTCTTTTCTAGCATAAATACATCCAGTTTTTACGTGCGAATGCTTCGGGCGGCGCACAGTGGATCGAGTCAATAGGAAAGGTCGGACAAAATTTGGAAACTTGAAACGCTTATAACTCCGTTTATACAAAACTTCGAGGTTTTGAAAAAGGTTCCATTGGTTTGCTCCTGAAATTTTCTTCTAGTTGCACCCCTTGAACTTTAAAATGTGACGAAATAAACACCAAAATTTGCAGTTTGAGTAAAAAATTCCGTGTCCGACCTCTCTAATTGACTCGATCCACTGTGCGGCGGTGGATTATAAGTGGATCAGTCGATGCTAGAATAGAACCTATTAACCTTAGAAAATCAGAAAATGAGTAGTTTTGCAGAAAAATTTGATATCACTTTAAATGTTCATGAAAAGGTCACGCAAAAACTCCAAAAATTGAGTAGGTTTTTTTTTCCTTTAAAAAAAAAATGAATGAGGTTACCTATTCAGGTTACTATCCATAAAAAAGCCTAACATGTCCAAAATGTTAATTTGCTCACAAATTTAATGCAAACTAGGGGGATATGCCCCCTGTCAGCTCTAAAGTCCAGCTCCTCTAAGCTCTTCGCGTCTAAGGCAATATGCTTTTATATTATATTATAAAGGAAGAAAAGATTCAGCAGGTTTATCAGGTCATGACTTGCTCCACAGTAACTTATTCAACATAAAAGCATAAACGTCAAAATATATGTAAATTATTTTTTGTTTCCCTGGGTTGATTTATAGCTCTCATTAAAGTAGAAGTTCTGAAATGCTCAATAAAAGAGGATAATAAGCAGCAGGTTGAGTTCAAGGTTGTATTCGTTGGGAAGTACCTACATTGCGCAACCTGCAAAATTTCTGATTACCAATGAATTTATCAATTAGCAAGGTTAGGATTCGTGAGCAGACCGTGACGGCCAATTATTTCGAGCAACTGTTTTTAGGAATTAATTTATTCTCATTCATCATCTAAAATAAATACAGAATATGTACAGGCAGTATACACAGTATACAGGAGATCAAACTAAAATACCATCCAAAGGAATGGGAATTTAGACTTTATCACACGAGAGTTTCTGAATCATCACAAAACTTAACGAGTTTTGACAACAAACTCGCAAGTTTGTGTGCTTCGCGGTAGCACGAAGACTCATCAGCTCAAATATAATGATTTTCACCATTGTACTCTTCTTCCAGAGCTCTGGGATTGAGCTTGTGCCTGAGATTGAGAGAATGTCTGAGGGGGGCTTGTCCAGCCGGATAGTGACGGTACGATTGGTCTGCCAAGACAAGCTGAGTGATAAGCTAATTGAACTCCTGAAAACAAAAACAAAAATAATGTAAATCGTTTCCATTTTTAGTTGGAAGAAACAAGGCATCACTGGGGAGGATAAGGAAAAATTATTAAAATCCGGAGAAAAATGTCGTAAAAAATTTGGATGTCGTCGAGTTCTACTTCTACTAGAAAACCTACAAAATTCTTATTTTGAAGTTTTTGGTGGTTTTTCGCAATTTAAGCTAATTATTCAGCAAAACTGGAGGAAAAGTATGTATAATTTCGGTGGAACGTAAATATCTTATCGAATGAAATTCGACAGTGTAAGAGGGTTTATCCGACGCACCAATTAATTATTGAATCTGTTTCTATTAGTCGGGTGTAAGTTCAAAACCTCATGAGCCCTGGCTTTCGTTGATCACGTAGGGCGCTAGGGCCCATGAATTTTTGTACTTACGCCCGACTAACAAAAACCGATTTAATTATCATTATCCCCTCCTTTCCATCCCATCAGAGTGTTGATTTTTAAAGGGAAATTTCGGTCAATTTGAATCGATTTGGACCTCAGTGCCCCAAGATAAATTTTTCTAATGTTTAAGATTGTTTCCAAATTTAAACTTTCTGTGATATGTGTTCAGTAAAATCTCAAAAGTTGCCGTTCCTCAAAAGTTATCGCCATGATCAGTGCGATTTGTGTGGCCCCCTTAATATCAGACCTGGATAATGTTACCATTCATCAAATGTTTAGTTTTTTTGGCACAAAAGGTGTCCCTTGTCCCATGAACGCTCTAATGTTCCAACTTCATCGGAAACGCACCAAGTTGCATCAATTGGACCGCGTTTAGCAGAGAGGAACCAAGCCACACCAGCTATTGCCAAATTCAACTGGGCAATTCAATTTATTGAGAGAACGTTTGTGCGGAATTTTTTGAAAATTTCAAGGAATTTGCTTCGAACTAAGCAGAAAATTCTGCACAACCGTTTTCATGTGACAAATTAAATCGCCCAATTAAATCTGCCAATAGCTGATATGACTTGTACCTATCCTTTCTGCTGAATGCGGTCCAATCGTGAACCGAAAAGAAGAGATTTCAAGTATCACATCCTCGAAAGACTCGATGTAAAGGGAAAAGTTTAACGACTGTTCCCACGTTTTAAATATTTTTTCGCTCGGTTGACTTTTGACGTAAGAGGACTAGCAACGGGTTGAACTCAGAACTACTCACTAGAGTACCTGTATAGCGAGAGTAAAGACAGATGTGAAACTCCGAAAATCCATCAGGCCTTCACCGATGCCTCCGCGAATAAAGTTAGGGGTCAGAAATGTAGCCAACCTATGAATTTCAATTATTCAGAGCGATTTATTAATACAATGGTTACGAACCATCGTTTATAAAGCACGTACTTGACTTAGTTTTTGCATAAATTTACTCATTTTTGCGGAGGAACGCTCATTTATGTGCATCCTTAGCCATCCTGGTTAGAATCGGAATCTGCAGACTGGCAGTGAAATTTTAAGCGTTAGAAGTTGGTCAGAAGGGTGGCTGCAATTTTGGGCCCTGAGCCCTCCATGAAGTGATCTGTCCACACTCGCGCTATACAGGTACTTTACTACTCACAACTCTCTTTTCTGAAATAGGACTTGGTGCGTCTCTGACTAATTCGATTTATGAGTATTGATAAACTTACCAGGTGAGCGATTGCAGACTCTGGCACACTCAAGGGTCCTGGGGTTTCCGTAGGTCTGGTTGTCAGTTCCGCACACGGGGTTGTACTCGGGGGTTGGGGCGCAGCTACAGGGTTGCGTGACCTTGGGAACCTGGGTTGTAGGGGTTGCGGGATTCTCTATCCCCCACTTATTTGGCAGGGAGTTCGAAGAACCGCCAGCCTCCACAGACTCTTCCGAAGATTCGCTTGAGTTCTCACCAGACTGGTCTTCATCCGATTTGTCTTCGCCGGACTCTTCGGACGAATCATTCTTCTCGACACCAGGGTTGCCCGTGGGTCTGGGGCCAGGCGTGAAAAGTGGCCGATCGAAGGGACCTGGCCGACTAGGATTGAAAGGCTGGACCTCGGGTCGACCCAGGTCACCCGTCTTCGTGCAGTCGACTCCAGGTCGGTAGTCGAACTTGTTCCCGAGAGGAGGTCGGTTGGGAACAAGGCCGAAAGGAGGTCGACCGAAGTTGAAAGCGTCAGGTCGGAAAGGAACGTTGCCGCCGAAAGCGGGGTAAGGTAAGTCGAAGAAATTAGGTCGGTTGACCTCGTTGCTGGCGATAGGTGGAGGATTAGGTCGGGGACGATCGTTACCCCCGAAGGGTCGCTCTTGATTGAACGGGGTGTTAGGTCGACTACTGACAGGTCGATTGAATTCGTTACCACTGGCAGGTCGACTCAACTCGTTATCATTAGCAGGTTGACCAAACTCGTTTCCGATAGCAGGTCGACTGACCTCAGCACCATTTGCAGGTCGATTGAATTCATTTCCGATAGCAGGTCGACTTTGACCTTGTGAATCAGGACGATTGAATTCATCAGGTCGACTGGCGGTACGATCGCCTCCATTTCCAGGTCGGTTCTGTTCAACAGTCTCGGGAGTGCCAGCAACGCTGCCCACAGGTCGGTTTTCTGCCACGTGAGGGCGATTTTGACCGTTGACATCGAGGCTGGAGTCCCAAGCTGCACCACCATCGGGTCGGTTTTGACCTTGACCTTCGTCTCCGAAATCTTCGCCGGGTTCGTTGAACTCGCCGTCGAAGTCTTGCCTGTTCTGGGTTGTTCCGGGTTGAGGTCGACTGGGCTCGTTGACGATTCGACTGAACTCGGGTCCGGGCGGGGTTTGGACGGAGTTGCGTGAGGAGCTACTCCCTGAAGGGAAGAAGAAGTTGCGCCCTCTTGGAAGTGGTGGTCCAGAGAGAAGAAACTGAGGGCTGCATTGCGCGACTGCTGTCATAGTTAGCAAGGTAAGACTGGCTGTAAACAGAAACAATAAAATGATCAGAGACAATATATTCGTCGCACTCCTGACATAAGGACGTGACTACATTTCACGATGAGCCCTATCGTCCATTGTAGCAGTCTTTACCCCTCACGGGGGAAAAAAACGCAAATTTCCATGGGACTAACCGTATGATACAACTATTTCAACTTCCAAGTAGGTAAAATTGTATATTTACCAAATGAAGGAAAATCTATTCTCAGCTGACCTAGAGACTTGGACGCAGGAGTAGAAAAGTGGGATAAGGTGAACCGCGGTATACAAGGATATCAAATTGATGAGAAAGTTACTGCGAAAGCGTTGAATTTCCTGAAAATCAATGGGTCCGCGTTTAATTTTTATGAAATAACTGCAAACGTGATAATTTGTTGGTGAAAATCACTGTCAATGCGAAGTTATTAAAGTGCGAAGGATGAATCACCGGTTTTTCGAAACTGCGTCGGCCGAAAAATTTGCGACTCTCAGATTCGCCTCACTGGGAAAAAAAACACATTGGATCTAGAGTCCAGACTCGTAAAAACATCGATAAGAAAAAATACTCTTGATTCGATCAGATCTAAGCTTAAATCAAGAACCAAGCCTCTTAATTTGAGCGGATTTCCTTTTGATTTAAGCTTAAATCTGCTTGAATCAAGAGTCCTTTTTCTTGTCAATGTTTTCAAGAATCTGGACTCTAGATCCAATGTGTGTTTTTTTTTTAAGTGTTTGCGAAAACTCGCCTGGCAAAGTGTCCACTCCGACATTCATCAGTCGTCATCGAGTGAATTTCAAATGACTTTTTTCTCAAAATTGCCCGTCAAACATCATACCAAGCGAAAAATATTTTTGACTTGAAAAATGAATTTAACTTTGGCCTCTTTCGGTTATACTGCTCAGATTGTTAGCGGAGGATCTATACGATACATTGTCTCCGGAAATGATCAAAGAAAAAAAATTACACTTAGAATACTTAGATTCCGGGAAATTTTGTTGTTTCAGTTTTCTCAAATTCACGATTGATAGTTCTCTATATTATGACCACGGATCAATGGTCAGCGTGTGAAACTGCGGATCTCCATTGCGGTGCTTCAAAATATCCGCTCCTTTTTTTATTTTTTCGAAAAAGAATAATAATCCAACTTAATAGCTCGAAATGTATAGGTAAATTATTCTGATTATAGGAAAGAAAATTCAAGGAAAACTTCAAGAAACTACACGTTGACGTTACGAAGAAAAAAATGAGTGTGAAAGGAAGTCAGCGCCGCCACAAACGGAGGTAGGTACTTGGTTTCGCACTTTGTCTATCAAAGAATGTTGAATTGTTTTGCGGTTGTTAATGAAATTGAACACGTCAATAACGGAATTGACGAAAGGTAAAAAACGTATATCTCGGATATCGACGTTAAAATTTGTCGCTCGTGTTTTATTTTTATAAGCGAATACGCAGCAGACAGAAGTTTTTTTTCAACTTGTCTACAGATTTTCTTCACTTCTTGGAAATTATTCACAGAAAATTGAAATGAGGTATGTTGGTCAGTTACCTTTTTAAGGAGCCAAGATATGATCGAAGATTTTTCAACTGCTGGAATGAAGATTCACGCAGTTTTTTAATTTAAACGTCGATACTTATTTATTTATTTCTTTCATTATTTATTAATTTAATTGTTTATTTTTGTATCTATTATCGTGTATTACATACTGTGGCGATTCCCGATCATTTTTCGGTTCCTGAAAAAAAAACTGATCAAAATTCCTCATTTGAATTTTCTGTGGATACTCTCAGAGGAATGAAGAAAAATAAAAAGTAAAAGAAAAAGAAAAATAAAATATAAAATTTGAAGATAAGTTGAAAAAAAAAACTGTTACTTCGTTGTGTTTTCGCGTAAAAGAGTTGATCTTATTTAGGGAAACTATAATTGTTTTCAATAGCAGTAATCAATGTAAATTCATGAACGCTTATTTGCTTAATGAAATTAAGTATAAAGTACATGGAGTCCCAACGGGTTGGTTTTTTTAAACTAAAAAGTAATTTTATTCGGACGTATTTACGCTAAAAATAACTACATGCAAATTAATTAAATCAAAAGGAATTTTGTAGCCCTAAAACCCTATGCGCATTGTTCTATTGGATTTACCTAATAGGAATGGATTCAAACTTAATGATTCAACCAATTATAATATTTTAAACTTCATATAAATACAGCTTCTAACTATGTAAAAGTATAAAATTTTACTGCAATTTTGGACTAAAAGCGCTAAAATTTTCTCCTACTTAGCATGGAAAAAAAAATTTGAATGTTTATTTAGAATTTTTAATAATGAAAACATGTGCGACATGTATCAGGTGTTGATTTTACATTTAAAAAAAAGCCTAACTCAACATTGAATTTGTTCATTTTACCGTGGAAATAGTTAACCTGGCATTTTTTTATTGTAAACTCAGCATTTATACTTGTCGCTTTTTTCATTATAAATGCTAAAGCATTATTCAATTTTTTTCCGTGATTTAAATCAGAAATTATAAACTAAATTTCACTAGAATTTCACAGTGTTCCTTTTAACATAAATGCGTCCCGTTTACACTGAAAAAAATTCTCGGCGTTTTTACCATGGTCTGTTGGTACCTTTACCATCTCACTTTTTTTTACCAATTATTGGTAATTTTACCAACACAGACTGGTAAGCTTACCTAAAAACCGGTATTTTTACTGTTTTTTTCAAGTAAGAATACCACTTTTATTGGCAATCAATTCCCGGTAACTTTGCCATTTTATCTCGGTAATTCTACCACAGTCGATAAAAAATATTGGCGTTTTTACCAAGGTCCAGTAAAATTACCGAGAAAGTTCAATAAGTTTAACGAGATTTCTCGGTAAAATTACCAATTCCATAAATGGTAATTTTACCAAGAAAAAACTGGGATCAAATAGAACCCTGAATTCTTGGTAATTTTACCCTTTTCTTGGTAAATACACCGATATTTTTTTTTTTCAGTGTAGCATTTTTTTATTGTAAACTCAGCATTTATACTTGTCGCTTCTTCACATCATAAGTGCTAAAGCATTATTCAATTTCTTCCGTGATGTAAATCAGAAATGATAAACTAAATTTCACTAGAACTTCACAGTGTTCCTTTTAACATAAATGTGCGTCCCGTTTAGCTAAAAATCTGAAAGAAGCACAAAAATACACGCTCCCTGAAGTTTCCGTAGCGAACTAAATCCTTACCTGTAAAAAACTGCATTTTGAAGGAACACTCCTGCATCCAAAACAACACAAAACCACGTAGCACACGCGAGGATATTCCACAAACAGGTCAAAAACGAAGAGTGCGCGCTTGACCGCGCCTGGCCGGAGAATGACTGACCACGCCGGCCGACGCACCTTTTTGACTGAAATCGAAGAGAAGCTGTGAAATCCCCGGTAAAAAAAAACCAGAGCGGCGGAAATCACGCTCCCCGCGGAGCGTCGCGCTCTGGACACACCTGACAGGGACTCCCGGGGAATCCCGTAGGATAGCGCGGGAATCCTAGGGAATTTGCCCACATATTTCCACTGCGATTGACGGGTAAAGTCATAATCGTCAAGAGATGAGTCAGTGATGCCAGTGGCGTGGCGTGCTTTGCGATATATCGATTGTTATGTTATTTAAAACTATAGGAAAGGATCGATAGACAGGGTGTTCGCAGCGAGCACCTTAATAATCGATTCTTTACCGTAGTTTTAAATGACATAACAATCGATACATCGCAATTCACGCCACGCCACTGAGTGATGCTAGTCATAGATTGGTATCTTAATGACCGGTAGCTCAGTGTGGAGTGGAAAGAGAGAAAAATAATGAGATTTCTTCAACGAAGATTATTCTATGTCAAATTTTTCAGACCTGTCGCAGATTTAGAGAATTAATTTCCCTGGCGATTGAGGCGTTGGGTGCAGAGAGGGTATTTCCTCGTTGCGGTGTTTCAGAATCTCCACTGCTACTTTATACAGGCAACTACTACTTGTCTGCTGATTCTACTTTACTGCTATTTTTTCTGCTGGGTGATCCAGGGTTAAACGGTCAGACTGCAGGAGCCGAAACACCCCCAGACCCCCCCTTTAAATTGAGATTTTGATTTTTTTAGATCATATATGAATCTGAATCTTTCAGATATTTATGAATGAATTTATGACTTCATGAAGTACAGGAGAGTACAAATTTTCATGAGATTTGGTTCACAACCAGTGTTCGAAATTCACCTTCGAGTTTTAGGAGCCATGTGGCGCATCAAACCCGATTTTTAGGCGCCATTGAAGATCTTTTAAGGACCAAATTGACTTTTTGCATATATATTACGGCGTATTTAGTGAAAACATATACGCAAGATGTTTTCGTAACAGAGCTAGTAAGTAGCTGTAATTTGGGGAAGAAAAAAAGCACTAAGAATGAAATCGTGAAGAGTAAAAAAAGCTTTCACTTCTAGTGCTGACAATTCTGAGTTTTTTTCAATTCAAATAGATTTGTTTTCCTTTCTGTATGTGACTTCCTATGAAAATCCAGATTTTTAGGGGCCATGTTGGCGCAGAGCCTTCATTTTTTAAAAGCCATGGCCGATTTTTGATAGTCTTCGTCCCTAAACTACAACTCCTTCATCGCGAAAGAAGGATGATGGTGCTATGTACTGCCTTGCAAAGGAAAAACGCCATAGAAGCATTCGAATGTTGTCAAATTTCTTCCCAGAAAATATTTATTTTTGAAGATAGTAAGGAATATTTCGCCTCGAAATGTTTAGACTTTTTAGATCAAATGTCGAACAAATCCCTCCAAAAAAATCGGAGGAGAAATATTCAACATTTTTCCGGAAAATTTATTGTTGTTCGACGGAAATTTTGCAACGCCTGATGGCCTATACGGCGTTCCTCCTTAGCATGGCAGTATACATTGAAATTGCTGGAGCACCCTATCCTATCGCTTAGAAACGAAATCGCTGCTAGTTCGCCTTTTGGCGACGCAACCCAACCCTACACTGAAGTTAATTAAGTTGCATCCATCGATTGGAGACTTCCAAAGAGACTTGAACGCACAGATAGAAACATAGAGGTCACTTTCAAATTATCATTTCTTTCGCTTATTTTAGTCCATATGACTCATTGACTTGTACTTTGCCTCTATCGAGCACCTATTCCTTACATGTGAGGAATTATCCATAAATTGATGGTCACGAACTGCCATGCTAAGGAAAAACTCCGCATGAATATTCGAATGTTGCCAAATGCCTCTCTAAAAAGTAAGCATTTAAGGAGGAAAATTGTGAATCTTTTTCTTTGAAAGTTTCACATGATATAGATCAAATTTTGAACAGATTTCTCTTAAGAATTGGATTTTAAACCAACATTAATTAAAGTTGAATGGCACATCAACGGTTAAACTGTTAAAATGCATAGCTTTCGACTTCCTGTCATAATTTGTTTCCTAGATAAAAAAAATGCTCAACGTTAACGTTGAGGAGATATTAAAGGAGATAAAACCAACACTCAAAAAAAGGTATGACTCTGAGACCCATAAAAAATGGCTCGGAGATCCATAACTAAAGTGACTTACCGTCTACAGTATGGCTCTCAGAGCCATACTTTATTGGTCGTGAACCTATAAGCATGGCTCCACGAACTATATTTTCTGGCTCTATGATCCATAACTCGGCCGGTTAGTCACTCTTCTCATACTTGTTTTTTGAATGAGCCTCATTGCTTAAATGTTCACAGGATATGTTTTACACACAGAAGGAAAACATATCCTGTGAACATTTAAGCAATGAGGTTGGTTTTATCTCCTTTAATGCGCCCACAAATGTTGAAAAACGCAAACAAGGTACCCTTTTTTGCAGATTCACCGTCAAAATTATTTCGCCTCCATTCCTCTGAGTAAATGAGAGGAGTTTCTCTCGACGAAGCGTATATTTGATAATATAAAAAAGAAATTCATCTGTTGGTGGCTTCAAATGCAATATTAAAAAGTGTTCTTTTTTATTTTACTTTTGTAAAAATAGTAGTCAAAGGTTGAATTTGCTGAACACAGGAAAAACAAATTGAGAACAAGTGTTACGGTTTATTAAAATATTTTTTTTCTCAGTTCTTTATTCTTTTTTCAGTACTTAAAGTAGAATAACAAACTTGAACACAATATAAACACAATCTATGCTTAGAGAGAAAGGACAGATCAGGGAGCTATACAGGAGTGAAAGATTTGAAAGTTCTTAAAAAAATTTGAAAAAGAGAGCTTCGTTCAGAATCCTTCTTTGAAGAAAAATCAAGATCGTCTATACTTCTCAAGAATAACACCAACTTGAATTTCGAGCGAAAAGTAAAATATACGAAGCATCTACACAATTATCAGACAGAAAATAAATCTATATGTATTTATAATATATTACAGAAACATGAAAAAAATTCTTTCGCAGGTTTAAAATTTGCAAAAAGAAATTAACAATAAGTAGATGGCACAGAAATAAATAAAAATGACTCTCTTTGAAAATACAACTACTGAGATTTCGAAAAATTATGTTCTCACACGGGTTTGGACAAACCCCCTCAAATAGGTTCGAGCAATTTTCAGGGATAACAATTTTTTCAAGAAGAGGATTGAATTCTAAACAGTATCACATTTACGAACAATAAGAGAGGAGGCAGAAAAAACAATATTACTTCAAATTGCATGAAGAGGTTTGAGAGACAATACTGCCATTCTAAGGGAAAACGCCGTATGAACATTCGACAGTTGCCACCTCTTTGAAAATGCTTATTTTTGAGGAAAGTTATGAATATTTATCCTTGAAATTTCATACTATTTAGATCAGATCTAGAACAAAATTCTCTGAAAAATTGGAAGAAACATATATTTACAAATTCTCCCAAAAACTCGTGATTTACCAAAAGAAATTTGGCAGCGGGTGAAGGTTCATACGGCGCTCTTCCTTAGCACGGCAGAATAAGTGACTGGTTTAGAGATTCACGTAATATCAAGTGTGATTTCTGCAAGTCAGTGTAAGAAACACTTTCCCCCCCCCCCCCCTTTNTTTGAAGCGAAGTTTTTTTAACCATAACCAAAACACTTCTCTCAGTTTCTCCATTTGAGGTGTTGATCAGTGGCATAGCGTGCTTTGCGATACATCGATTGACCTGTCATTTAAACCTATGGCAAAGGATCGATAAGCAGGGTGTTCGCAGCGAACACCTTAATAATCGATTCTTTGCCATAGCTTCAACTAAGGAAATATCGATAGATCACAAAGCGCGCCACGCCACCGGTGCCGATGCATTGGCGGATCCAGCAAATTGGCAACATTGCCTTCTCTCCATTTAAACATATGGAAATGTATCGATTCTTGGAGGGGCCAGGTGCTCCGACAAGAATCGATCATTTAGCATAGATTTAAATGGAGGAGATCCGGTGTTGCCAAATTGCTGGATCCGCCTCTGCTCGATAGCCACAGAGGAGTCTGGCAAAACAAAATAATATCTTACTCCTACTAGCTTTCAGATTTTTGGTCATTCAGTTCACTTATCACAAAGATTATTGCATCGGGTAGATGACACCGGGGCTATGCGTCGATTTTTTATCGTATTCAGCTGAAAGCAACACAGTTTTTTCAAGTCATAAAAGGCCCGCTCATGAGTTCTTCAGGGAAGAATTAGACTGAATTTGAAAAATGGAAGAGGTTACATTTTGCAGTGAAATGAGTTAGGAACAGTTTGAGCTTAAGTATCCTCACATTTTCTTTTGTCAAAACTTTGAAGTCTAGAAAAAATGTCTTCAGGGTTTAAAAAAACTTTTCACTTGACTTCTGAAATTAGAGTATTCATTGAAAAGAATGGTTAAAAAAAATTTATTAAATGCGAACAAGACTCATTTTGGTTTAAATAAATATTTTCAAGGTAGAGAAATTCCTGTTCATTTAAGGAAAAGCATTAAAGGAAAATGTTTATGAGAGATTTTTTTTTTTAAAAAAATCAATTTTTTTTCTTTGTCGCATTCAGAGAACTCAGTCATTGACGACAAACTAGGTTTTTTTATTCTAAGAAATACTCATTTGAATTCAAAGCAATTACTTTCACTCAAGAGAGATTTACCTAAATACGCACAAATTCATCCTTCAAAATGCGTTTTCTTCAACCAAACAGACTTTTGTTTTAACCTGATAAGTTTTTTGAACCATTCTTCTTATTGGTGAAGCTTCCGAACTTTAAACCTATTTTTCATTAGTTTAATTCTGTTGCCGCTTGATTCCTTCCTACTGAACTCTCATTGGCGAATCTAGGTAATTGGCAATATTGTTTTTCTTCATTTAAATCTATGGAAATGTTTCGATTCTTGGAGGGATCAGGTGCTCTGACAAGAATCGATTA